TCCTGTTTTGTCCTGGTTGAGTCCTGGTCCTGGTCCTGGTGGTTGAGTTCTGTTTTGGTCCTGGTTGAGTTCTGTTTTGGTCCTGGTCCGGTCCTGTTTGGTCCTGGTTGAGTTCTGTTTTCTGGTTCCTGTTTTGGTCCTGGTTTTGCCTGGTCCTGTTAGTCTGTTTTGGTCCTGGTTGAGTCTGTTTTGGTCCTGTTGAGTTCTGTTTTGGTCCTGGTTGAGTTCTGTTTGGTCCTGGTTTTCTGTTTTGGTCCTGGTTGAGTTCTGTTTTGGTCTCTGGTTGAGTTCTGTTTGGTCCTTGGTCTGGTTGGTTCTGTTTTTGGTCCTGGTCCGGTCCTGTTTTGGTCCTGGTTGAGTTTCTGGTCCTGGTTCCTGTTTTGGTCCTGGTTGATCCTGTTTTGGTCTGAAGTTCTGTTTGGTCCTGGTTGGTCTGTTTTTGTCCTGTTGGTCTGTTTTGGTCCTGGTTGAGTTCTGGTTTTGGTCCTGTTTTGGTCCTGGTTGAGTTCTGTTTTGGTCCTGGTCCGGTCCTGTTTTGGTCCTGGTTGAGTTCTGTTTTGTCCTGGTTGAGTTTGGTTGGTTGGTTTTGGTCCTGGTTTGGTCCTGTTTTGGTCCTGGTTGAGTTCTGTTTTGGTCCTGGTTGAGTTCTGTTTTGGTCCTGGTTGAGTTCTGTTTTGGTCCTGGTTGAGTTCTGTTTTGGTCCTGGTTTGGTCCTGTTTTGGTCCTGGTTGAGTTCTGTTTTGGTCCTGGTTGAGTTCTGTTTTGGTCCTGGTTGAGTTCTGTTTTGGTCCTGGTTGAGTTCTGTTTTGGTCCTGGTCCGGTCCTGTTTTGGTCCTGTTGAGTTCTTTTTGGTCCTGGTTGAGTTCTGGTTTTGGTCCTGGTTTCCTGTTTTGGTCCTGGTTGAGTTCTGTTTTGGTCCTGGTTGAGTTTCTGTTTTGGTCCTGTTCTGTTTTGGTCCTGTCCTGTTTGGTCCTGGTTTGAGTTCTTGTTTTGGTCCTGTTTTGGGTCTGTTTTGGTCCTGGTTGAGTTCTGTTTTGGTCCTGGTTTGGTCCTGTTTTGGTCCTGGTTGAGTTCTGTTTTGGTCCTGGTTGAGTTCTGTTTTGGTCCTGGTTGAGTTCTGTTTTGGTCCTGGTCCGGTCCTGTTTTGGTCCTGGTTGAGTTCTGTTTTGGTCCTGGTTGAGTTCTGTTTTGGTCCTGGTTGAGTTCTGTTTTGGTCCTGGTCCGGTCCTGTTTTGTCCTGGTTGATGTTTTGGTCCGGTCCTGTTTTGGTCCTGGTTGAGTTCTGTTTTGGTCCTGGTTGAGTTCTGTTTTGGTCCTGGTTTGGTCCTGTTTTGGTCCTGGTTGAGTTCTGTTTTGGTCCTGGTTCGGTCCTGTTTTGGTCCTGGTTGAGTTCTGTTTTGGTCCTGGTTTGGTCCTGTTTTGGTCCTGGTTGAGTTCTGTTTTGGTCCTGGTTGAGTTCTGTTTTGGTCCTGGTTGAGTTCTGTTTTGGTCCTGGTTGGTCTGTTTGGTCCTGTCTTTTGGTCCTGGTTTGAGTTTGTTTTTCTGTTTGGTCCTGGTTGAGTTTCTGTTTTGGTCCTGTTTTGGTCCTGTTTGGTCCTGTTTTGGTCCTGGTTGAGTTCTGTTTTGGTCCTGGTTGAGTTCTGTTTTGGGTCCTGGTCCGGTCCTGTTTTGGTCTGTTGGTCTGTTTGTCCTGTTGAGTTCTGTTTTGGTCCTTGGTTCGGTCCTTTTGGTCCTGTTTTGGTCCTGGTTGAGTTCTGTTTGGTCCTGGTTGAGTTCTGTTTTGTCCTGGTTGAGTTTGGTCCTGGTCCTGTTTTGGTCCTGGTGAGTTCTGTTTTGTCCTGGTTGAGTTCTGTTTTGGTCCTGGTTTGGTCCTGTTTTTTGGTCCTGGTTGAGTTCTGTTTTGGTCCTGGTTGAGTTCTGTTTTTGGTCCTGGTTGAGTTCTGTTTTGGTCCTGGTTGAGTTCTGTTTTTGGTCCTGGTGGTCCTGTTTTTTGGTCCTGGTTGAGTTCTTTTTGTCCTGGTCCTTTTGTCCTGGTTGATTCTGTTTTTGGTCCTGGTCCGGTCCTGTTTTGGTCCTGGTTGAGTTCTGTTTTGGTTCCTGGTTGAGTTCTGTTTGGTCCTGGTCCGTCCTGTTTTGGTCCTGGTTGAGTTCTGTTTTGGTCCTGGTTGAGTTCTGTTTTGGTCCTGGTTGAGTTCTGTTTGGTCCTGGTTGAGTTCTGTTTTGTCCTGGTTTGTCCTGTTTTGGTCCTGGTTGAGTTCTTTTTGGTCCTTTGGTCCTGGTTTGAGTTCTGTTTGGTCCTGGTTGAGTTCTGTTTTGGTCCTGGTTGAGTTCTGTTTTGGTCCTGGTCCGGTCCTGTTTTGGTCCTGGTTGAGTTCTGTTTTGGTCCTGGTTGAGTTCTGTTTTGGTCCTGGTTGAGTTCTGTTTTGGTCCTGGTTTGGTCCTGTTTTGGTCCTGGTTGAGTTCTGTTTTGGTCCTGGTCCGGTCCTGTTTTGGTCCTGGTTGAGTTCTGTTTTGGTCCTGGTTGGGTCCTGTTTTGGTCCTGGTTGTCCTGTTTGGTCCTGGTTGAGTTCTGTTTTGGTCCTGGTTGAGTTCTGTTTTGGTCCTGGTTGAGTTCTGTTTTGGTCCTGGTTGAGTTCTGTTTTGGTCCTGGTCCGGTCCTGTTTTGGTCCTGGTTGAGTTCTGTTTTGGTCCTCAGGTTCTGGAGGAGGAGGTTGGGTTTGTCGGTGAGGTTCTGTGACGTTGGTTCCTTCAGATTCTGTTATTGGACTCGTGGGACTCCAGGGGGCGCTCCGTCTCTGCTGCTGCTGCACGGCTTCTCTGCAAACAAAGACATGTGGCTCCCCGTGGTCAAGGTGAGACCCAAGACCCAAGACCGGATTTAGACCGGCTTTAGACTGGGTTTAGACTGGGTTTAGACCAGGTTTAGACCGGGTTTAGACCGGGTTTAGACCGGGTTTAGACCGGTTTTAGACGCGCGTTTAGACCGGGTTTAGACCCCGGTTTAGACCGGCTTTAGACCGGTTTAGACCGGCTTAGACCGGGTTTTTAGACCTGGCTTTAGACCTTTAGACCGGGTTAGACCGGTTTAGACCCTAGGTTTAGACCCGGGCTTTAGACCGGGTTTAGACCGGGTTTAGACCAGGTTTAGACCGGTTTAGACCGGCTTTAGACGGCTTTAGACCGTTTAGACCGGGCTTTAGGACCGGCTTTAGACCGGGTTTAGACCAGGTTTAGACCGGCTTTAGACCGGTTTAGACCAGGTTTTTAGACCAGGTTTAGACCAGTTTAGACCGGCTTTAGACCGCTTTAGACCGGTTTAGACCGGCTTTAGACCGCTTTAGACTTTAGACCGGGTTTAGACCGGGTTTAGACCGCTTTAGACCGGGTTTAGACCGGCTTTAGACCCAGGTTAGACCGGGTTTAGACCGGCTTTAGACCGGGTTTAGACCGGGTTTAGACCGGGTTTAGACCGGTTTTTTAGACCGGGTTTAGACCGGTTTAGACCGGGTTTAGACCGGGTTTAGACCGGGTTTAGACGGTTTAGACCGGTTTAGACCGGGTTTAGACCGGTTTAGACCGGGTTTAGACCGGTTTAGAGTTTAGACCGGGTTTAGACCGGGTTTAGACCGGGTTTAGACCGGGTTTAGACCGGGTTTAGACCGGGTTTAGACCGGGTTTAGACCGGGTTTAGACCGGGTTTAGACGGGTTTAGACTGACAGGACAGGAAGTTTATTTTGACACCGTGTGTTTATTTCCTGTTTCCTCTGATCAAAGTCTGGAGACTCTGACGCTGAAACATTAAAACTCCAACCTGATTTGAGCGACGAGTCGAGTCGTGTCGAGTCGTGTCGAGTCGTGTCGACCTGTGGACGCTCGTGTGACTCTGATGGAGTAAAATGCCCGAGTGGTTAAAAGTGAAAGTGTGACCCGCTCATGTGCTGCTGCACTTACACTGTTACACTTTGGTGTAAATACACACGTCACCAGTCTCAGACTTCAGGTCATCACACAATCCACACTGAGAAAAAGTGAGCATCAAACCTCCATGTTTGTTTTCCCAGTGGGACGTGTCTTTTGAACAATATCACTTTTGTTTCTGCTTCTGATATTGTCATATTTTAGTTTTGGGATTTCGGACATCGTTAATTGTTGTGGTTGTTGGATCCAAACAACGGAAAACGACTCCAGAAATGTGTTTGTGAACTTCATAAATGCAAAAGTGAATCAGATGTGTGTGACTCAAACCTCTGTTCAAACTGTTTCTCTTCCCAACGGAATTGAAAAATAGTGAAAGGTGAAGGTGATGGGCAGGATTGATCCACAGGAAGAACCAAAAAGGAAACATTTGTCTGACTAAATCATCCTGAGTTTACAGAGAACATTTTGTATGTGGAGCGACAACAAAACAAAATCCTGTTTGTTAATGTAGAGGAGCAGAAGACAAACAGACTGAGCTGCACTTTCTTGTTCTTGTGGTTTTACACAAACATCACGTCTTGGTCTTTGCAGTGGAAGGTGTTTCTTGGTGAACAGTTGGAGACTTTCACTTTGGTGTCGACTTTTTAAATTCATAACCGAGGTTGAACGACGGATCAGGATTTTGTTTTGTTGTGGCTCCACATACAAAATGTTCTCTGTAAACTCAGGATGATTTCTTAGTCAGACAAATGTTTCCTTTTTGGTTCTTCCTGTGGATCAATCCTGCCCATCACCTTCACCTTTCACTATTTTTCAATTCCGTTGGGAAGAGAAACAGTTTGAACGGAGGTTTGAGTCACACACATCTGATTCACTTTTGCATTTATGAAGTTCACAAACACATTTCTGGAGTCGTTTTCCACTGTTAGGATCCAACAACCACAACAATTAACGATGTCCGAATCCCAAAACTAAAATATGACAATATCAGAACCAGAAACAAAAGTGAAATGGTTCAAAAGACTTGAAAAGATCGACTTTGTCAACAGACTCGTCCCACTGGGAAAACAAACATGGAGGTTTGATCATCACTTTTTCAGAAAATCCTTCCCAGTGTGATTTGTGTGATGACCTGAAGTCTGAGATTCTTGATGTGTGTGTGTGTGTGTGGGGGGGGGGGGTGACTCTGACACACGGGGAGGGCATCTGACTGATCTCTGTCTGGTCCAGTTCTTGCCGGGGCAGTATCACGTGGTGTGTTTGGATTTACCGGGACACGACGGAACGAGCCGCTTCCAAAATGAAGATTACAGCATCAACGGACAAGTGTCCAGAATCCACCAGGTCAGTCCTGGTTTAGACCTGGTTTAGTCCTGGTTTCAGTCCTGGTTTAGTCCTGGTTCAGTCCTGGTTCAGTCCTGGTTTAGACCTGGTTTAGTCCTGGTTCAGTCCTGGTTTAGTCCTGGTTCAGTCCTGGTTCAGTCCTGGTTTAGACCTGGTTTAGTCTTGGTTCAGTCCTGGTTTAGTCCTGGTTTAGTCCTGGTTCAGTCCTGGTTTAGTCCTGGTTTCAGTCCTGGTTTAGTCCTGGTTTAGTCCTGGTTTAGTCCTGGTTTCAGTCCTGGTTTAGTCCTGGTTTCAGTCCTGGTTCAGTCCTGGTTCAGTCCTGGTTTAGTCCTGGTTTCAGTCCTGGTTCAGTCCTGGTTTCAGTCCTGGTTTAGTCTTGGTTTCAGTCCTGGTTTAGTCTTGGTTTAGTCCTGGTTTAGTCCTGGTTCAGTCCTGGTTCCTGGTTCAGTCCTGGTTTAGTCTTGGTTTAGACCTGGTTCAGTCCTGGTTCAGTTCTGGTTCTGTTCTCTGTAGTTCGTTCACACTCTGGGTCTGACTCGGTTCCATCTGGTCGGGGCGTCGATGGGAGGAAACTTGGCCGGAGTTTATGCTGCTCGATTCCCCGAAGACCTCAGCTCCGTCACCATGGTCTGCCCCGCGGGTGAGTCCTGGTTCAGTCCTGGTTCAGTCCTGGTTTAGTCAGTCCTGGTTTAGACCTGGTTTAGTCCTGGTTTAGTCCTGGTTCAGTCCTGGTTCAGTCCTGGTTCAGTCCTGTTTTTTTTCCCGTTTCAGGTCTGGAGACGCTTCAGGACACAGACTTTGTGAAGCGCCTCAAGGAGATGGAAACCCAGAGGAACCAGGACCAGGACCAGGACCAGGACCAGAGGGAGGATCAGTCCATCGCCCTGATCCCGACCTCTGTACCTCAGCTACAGGAGATGCTCAACTTGTGCTGCTACAAACCACTGAACCTCCCCACACAGGTACACAACACACACACACACACACACACACACACACACACACACACACACACACACACACACACACACACACACACACACACACACACACACACACACACACACACACACACACACACACACACACACACACACACACACACACACACACACAAATGAGTGATCGTCATGTTTCTGTTTTAGATGAAGAAGGGTCTGCTCCAAAACAGACTCCCACACACCACCTTCTACAGACACCGTGAGTCTCACCCCCCCGATGTGTCACCCACCTGAGTCTCACCCCCGAGTCAGTCTCACCCCCAGAGTCTCACCCCCGAGTCTCACCCCTCGTGTCACCCTCGTGTCTCACCCCTGAGTCTCACCCCCGAGTGTCACCCTCGTGTCTCACCCCGAGTCTCATCCCTGAGTCTCACCCCTCGTGTCACCCTCGTGTCTCACCCCGAGTCTCATCCCTGAGTCTCACCCCCGAGTCTCACCCCCGAGTCTCACCCCCGAGTGTCACCCTCACCCCCCCCCCCGAGTCTCACCCTCGAGTCTCACCCCCCAGAGTCTCACCCCAGAGTCTCACTCCTGTCTCACCCCCTTGTTTCACCCCAGAGTCTCACCTCGTGTTTCACCCGAGTCTCACCCCCGAGTCTCACCCCGAGTGTCACCCCCGAGTCTCATCCGTGAGTCTCACCCCCGAGTCTCACCCCCGAGTCTCACCCCCGAGTCTCACCCCGAGTCTCACCCCTGAGTCTCTCACCCCTGAGTCTCACCCCTCGAGTCTCACCCTCGAGTCTCACCCCTGAGTCTCACCCTCGAGTCTCACCCTCGAGTCTCACCCTCGAGTCTCACCCTCGAGTCTCACCCCGAGTGTCACCCTCGTGTCTCACCCCCGAGTCTCACCCCGAGTCTCACCCCGAGTCTCACCCCGAGTCTCACCCCCGAGTCTCACCCTGAGTCTCACCCTTGTGTCTCACCCCCGAGTCTCACCCCCGAGTCTCACCCCTGAGTCTCACCCTCGTGTCTCACCCTCGAGTCTCACCCCGAGTCTCACCCCATGTCTCACCCCGTATTTCACCCCAAAGTATCACCCCATGTCTCACCCCGAATCTTACCCCAGAGTCTCATCCCGTGTCTCGCCCCGTGTCTCGCCCCGAGTCTCACCTTGAGTCTCACCTTGAGTCTCATCCCAGAGTCTCACCCCGTATTTCACCCCAAAGTCTCACCCCGTGTCTCACCCCAGAGTCTCACCCCCATCCCCGTGTTCTCTTGTGTTCTAAAGTGTTCTCTTGTGTTCTCTTGTCTCAGTGTTCGAGTGCATCAGCGCTGAGGACTCCAGACACTCTCTAGAGAAGAACCTGCACCTCATCTCAGTCCCAGTGCAAGTGGTCTGGGGCCAGCAAGACCAGGTCTAGACCAGGACTAAACCAGGACTAGACCAGGACTAAGCCAGGACTAAACCAGTACTAAAACAGGACTAAACCAGGACTGGGTCTGGAGAAGGACTTAAGGCCGCCCCACTCTACAGGAGAATTTGCTCGATTTTGGCTGCTACAGAATTTGTCCTCCGCAAATCATAAGCCCAGTCCACAAAACGTCTGGGTTGTGAATCCGGTTTGAGTCTTTAAAAGTAAAAAGGTGGGAGTAGTTCCTCACCTGTGTCTGTTTACGGATCGAGCTGAAGCTGCAGATTCTCCACAGTGACTCGACTTTATCCCCAGTCTGTTCTGCTTTAAAAATCCTGTTTCTGAATCTAAAGGCCTGTTCACACAAGAACATTTACGGGTAAAAAACGACTAAATATTTTATGACGGTGACGGCGTTTTTGGGTTTAGAAATGCCAAAATCTGAAACCACCGTCCAGAGTGGAAAAGTTGAATAGTCTCTGCCGTAGTGTTTCTGTCTGCACTGCCCAAGACACAAAACTCTGGTCACATGTGCTCAGGTCGTGTACACGTTTACGTCACATACATCACCACCGAGTCGTTTGGCATCACACACAATCCAACTCCTCACACTTTTGCGTCACCGTGCGCAGCAGATTTCCTCCTGAAAACACAGAATAAAAAGTGAAGACGCGACGCCACTTTTACGTCTTCTGTTCAGACGTCATCGTATAAACGTCGACTAAACTAGAAGTGCAGAGTCTGATTTTTGAACACTTCAGAGTCTCAGAGCGACACAGGTTTATGTCCTGTGCTCCGCAGACAGATCCTGCTCCAGTCTGTGCGATCGGAGATTTAGAATCTTATAAGATTCTCCTCGTGTCTGTGGTGTGCGCTTTTTGTCGCACGTTTAAAAATCGTTAAAATAGTAGTGTGTGGTGGACTTTAGACAGGACCAGGACTTCACCAAGACTAAACCAGGACTGAACCAGGACCAGGGGCTAAACTAGAACCAGTACTGGACCAGAACTAGGACCAGATCAGTGCTGGACTTGGTCTAAACCCGGTCTCACCCTCGCTCTCTCCTCCGTCAGGTCCTCCACGTCTCCGGCGCCTCGGTGATCACGGCGGCTCTGCCTCACAGCCAGGTGGAGCTGCTGGAGAACTGTGGTCACTCCGTGGCTCTGGAGCGCCCCCGTAAGCTCGCCACGCTCATCAGCAACTTCCTGTCTGCGCAGGAAGTGACCCACGGCAACGCCCACAAGAAGAACTCTTGAGGAACACGTCCGTCCTTCACAAACGCACACGCATCATTTCACTGTTTTAGTTTTATTATTCAGTTTTATTTTCAGCCCTTTTCAAAGCTCTGATTCCAGAAGTAAATTTTCTGTTTTTCAGATTTAAAGCTCCTGTATTACACAAAATTAACTCTTTAAGCTTTAAACCGCGTTCTGATGTTGTTCCCTCGTCAAAAACAGAGCTGGACTTGTGTTTTGTTTCATTCACGCGTTATTTTTACAGACTGAAATGATCCAGATGATTCTAGTGAAGCTGTGTGGAGTTTAAAAACACAGTGGAGCACTTCCTGTATCACCACATGATGACATCACAAGGTGGAGCAGAGTGTTTTCAGTTGGAGAGGAGCCTAAATGTGCAGGTTTGTGGGTTAAACGTGTGAGAATGAAACAAAAACACAAGTCCAGTTCTGTTTGTGACGAGGAAACGACGTCAGAACAGAAAACAGAGAAACACGGTTCATTCGTTTTTCAAAATAAAACGAACAATAAGAAAATGAAAAAATAAATGTTTTCTTCATTATTTGTCTCCAAAACCAAAATGAAAAAACAGATAATGATTTCCTTTTTTCAATTTTTGATTTTGTGTTTAAATGAAAAATGGAAAAAACGAATAATGGACTGAACCAGGACTAAAACGTTTTCAATCCTGGTCCTGGTCCTGGTCCTGGTCCTGGTCCCGGTCTCAGTCCCAGTCTCAGTTCCGGTCTGTGTCCTGGCCTTAGTCCTGGTCTCAGTCCCGGTCTAAGTCCTGGTCTCAGTCCTGATCTCTGTACTGGTCTGGTCCTGGTCTGGTCGGCCTCGGTCTCGGCCTCAGTCCCGGTCTCAGTCCTGGTCCTGGTCCCGGTCTAAGTCCTTGTCTCAGTCCTGGTCCTGGTCCTGGTCTCAGTCCTGGTCTAGTCCCGGCCTCAGTCCCGGTCTCAGTCCTGGTCTTAGTCCTGGTCCCGGTCTTAGTCCTGGTCTCAGTCCCGGTCTCAGTGCTGGTCCTGGTCCAGGTCTAAGTCCTGGTCTCAGTCCTGGTCTGGTTCTGGTCAGGTCCCGGACCTGATTCAGTCCTGGTCTAGTCCCGGCCTCAGTCCCGGTTTCAGTCCCAGTCTTAGTCCCGGTCTCAGTCCCGGTCTCAGTCCTGGTTCTGGTCCTGGTCTTAGTCCTGGTCTCGGTCCCGGTCTCAGTACTGGTCCTGGTCTCAGTCCTGGTCTGATTCTGGTTCAGTCCGTACGCGGAAAAGTCACATAAACGGGAAACGATCATTATCTGTTTTTCTGTTTTTTTCCATTTTGTTCATTTAAACACAAAATCAAAAACTGAAAAAACAAGTTTTTATCTTTTTTTTTTTTTTTTTCATTTTGGTTTTGGAGACAAATAATGAAGAAAATATTTGTTCTTTCGTTTTCTTATTTTTGTTTTTATTTTGAAAAATGAATGAATGACACACAGATTCATGGGCCCCACATTTGAATGTTTTTTTGTTTTTGTTTTTTTAATAAATAAATAATGATTCCAGTTTGGAGACCAACCAACTCGGGTCCAAACGAGCATTTAACGTGGACTTCATTTGGACTAAACCGATCCTGGTCCAAGTCCTGGTTAAGTCCACATTAGGACCAAACTGTAACTGCGCTCCTTTGTCCTGAACAGAAGAGCAGGTTTTTGCACTGAATGTTCGTCTTTATTTAATGATTCCTTTAACTTTAATAAACTGCACTTTTTGATTCTCTGTTCGTCGCTGTAGGAAAATTTCTGTATATTTATTATCCAAGAGAAAATACTGTGAACCCCAATGTCAAATGGATAAATAAAATACAATTAATTCATGAATAAAATTTGACTAAACAGTTTTATTTATTCATGAAACTGTTTTCTTTGTCAGAACCAAAGACAATATTTAAATATGTAATTATAATATTTAGACGTTTAACTACAGCCCAAACTATTTCACTAAATCAGATTCTACTTTTCTGAAACGAGAGGCAAAGATTTTATAACCTTATTATTCAGCATATATTATATTATTATTGTGCATATCAGGATATTTTCTTATTTATTTTCTTTTGTTTAATTTACAAGAATAATTTTGTGATAAATAAAAAGAGTTTTATCATAGTTTAAATATTTTGCGATAAATAAATGTATAGTTTTATTATACAGTTAAAATATTTTGTGATCAATAATTTAATAGTTTTATTATACAGTTAAATATTTTGTGATAAATAATTAAATTGTTTTATTATACAGTTAAAATATTTTGCGATAAATAATTAAATTGTTTTATTATACAGTTAAATATTTTGTGATAAATTATTTATTATTTTTATTATTCAGTTAAAATATTTTGTGATCAATATTTTAATAGTTTTATTATACGGTTAAAATATTTTGTGATAAATAAATAATAGTTTTATTATACAGTTAAAATATTTTGTGATCAATAATTTAATAGTTTTATTATACAGTTAAAATATTTTGTGATCAATAATTTAATAGTTTTATTATTCAGTTAAAATATTTTGTGATAAATAAATTAATAGTTTAATTACACAGTTAAAATATTTAGCATGATGTATAAATAGAATAAAAAAATAAAAGAGGAATTCATTGTTATTTGATGAGGTAAAACAGTGGAAAAGTGATATGTTGTTGTTATTTGTGTTTTGTGGAGCGTGCGTGTGACGTAACGCCGGAGCGTAAACAGCGCGTGGGTCTGTGGAGAGAACGTTCCAGAAGCGCGAAGCTCTGCGCGGGAAGGACGCTGCGGCTCGATCCACCGGCGGAGAAACTGATGAAAAAAATAAAATAAAAAGAGTTTACAGCGACGCTTCAGCTCAAACTGAAAACTCCCCGTGCCCCGGAAATCTGCGGAGGACGAACCGCGGCCGGGTGAGTTTACACCGACTGAAACACAGAGCGTGAAGAGCTACGCTGAAGCTAAAGAGGCTAAAGCTAAAAAGGCTAAAGCTCAAGGGTTCGTTCACACCAAAGCGTCAAAAAACGCCTTGACGTTTCTATTTGGAGCCTTTGTATTTGAGTTCAGACGCCCCCGACGCTCGTGTCTTTGACGTCGTGGACGAACGGGACAAAAATACTTGACGCGCGTTCGTTGCCCTGGAAACAAGAGCCCGGTTCTGGTCTTTTCCCGAAACAATGTCAGACCAGACTGAGAGACTTTAGTGTTTTTATCACATAAAACATCAGCGGAGAAGATCAGGTCAACGACTGGAGCCAGTTTATATTTATACTCCACTAATGACACTGGATCAGTCCCGGTCTAGTCCTAGTTTAGTCCTGGTCCGGTTCTGGTGTAGTCCTGGTTTAGTCCTGGTTCAGTCCTGGTTCAGTCCTTGTTTAGTCTCGGTCTAGTCCTGGTTTAGTCCCGGTCTAGTCTTGGTCTAGTCTTGGTCTAGTCTTGGTCTAGTCTTGGTCTAGTCTCGGTCTACTCCCGGTCTAGTCTCGGTCTACTCCCAGTCTAGTCCATATTTAGTCCTGGTAGACCTGGTTTAGTCCTGGTCTGGTCCTGGTTTAGTCCTGGTCCGGTCCTGGTTTAGTCCTGGTCCGGTCCTGGTTTAGTCCTGGTCTGGTCCTGGTGTAGTCCTGGTCTGGTCCTGGTGTAGTCCTGGTCTGGTCCTGGTGTAGTCCTGGTCTGGTCCTGGTTTAGTCCTGGTCTGGTCCTGGTGTAGTCCTGGTCTGGTCCTGGTTTAGTCCTGGTCTGGTCCTGGTGTAGTCCTGGTCTGGTCCTGGTGTAGTCCTGGTCTGGTCCTGGTGTAGTCCTGGTCTGGTCCTGGTTTAGTCCTGGTCTGGTCCTGGTCTGGTCCTGGTGTAGTCCTGGTCTGGTCCTGGTGTAGTCCTGGTCTGGTCCTGGTTTAGTCCTGGTCTGGTCCTGGTTTAGTCCTGGTCTGGTCCTGGTGTAGTCCTCGGTGATTGTGGTGTATATATTTATTCTCCGTTCATGTTTGTGGTTCTCGTTCTGGTTCTGGGGTTTTTCTTCCTGATAATGACGTCGCTGCGTCTCTGGATACTCGTCCCTGATTGGTTGACGCGGCTCGTCTGACGCAAAAAGTTCAGCATTTTCAACTTCTTGACGCCGACGTCTTGGACGCGCGTCTAGAGCGCTGACGCCAAAACGCTCAAGACGCGCCGCAAAAACACAGGACGCTCTAGACGCTCGTCCACATCGACTTTACACAGAAACTGGACAATTTGATGCTTTGGTGTGAACGAACCTTAAAGCTAAAGGTGCGAGCGCCGTATCTGGTCACGTACCCGGAGTCAGGCGGGAGAATCCATGTGTCATTCATTTGTTCGTTTTTCAAAATAAAACCAAAAGTAAGAAACGAAAAAACATTTTTTCTTCATTATTTGTCTCCAAAACCAAAATGTTTTTTTCAGTTTTCAGATTTTGTGTTAAAATGAATAATGGAAAAAATGGATAACGACCCTTTATGTGACATAAACTCTGATCCAGGACTAAACCAGGACTAAAACAGGACTAAAACAGGACTGATCCAGGACTGAACCAGGACTAAACCGGTCTCAGTCCTGATCCTGGTCCCGGTCTGGTCCTGGTCTGAACCAGGAGTGTCAGGACGGGCCCAGAGGTGCGCCCGCATAGACTGTTGGGTGATCAGGACTGAGGCCAGTCCTCTGGGCCCGTCCTGACACTCCTGGTTCAGACCAGGACCAGACCGGGACCAGGATCAGGACTGAGACCGGTTTAGTTCTGGTAGACCTGGTTTAGTCCTGGTTTAGTTCTGGTAGACCTGGTTTAGTCCTGGTTCAGTCCTGGTTTAGTCCTGGTTTAGTCCGTTATCCAAACAGAAAATCGAAAACTGAAAAAACAAATCTTTATCTGTTTTTTTCATTTTGGAGACAAATAATGAAGAAAATCATGTTTTTTTTATTTTTATTTTTTTTCATTTTTTATTTTATTTTGAGTGACACACAGATTCAGGAGAACAGTTTTAATATATTTATAACTCTGTGGTCGCGTCTCTTTCGTCGCTTCCTTCTCCTTCATGTCTCTCCTGGATCCTTCGTTTTTCATCTGTCAGTCAAATGTGTCGTATTAAAAAGTGTCCCAAAGAAAACCACAGAACGAAGGAGTAAACGTGAGGGAGGCACGTGACACGTTAAACTATTCATTTCTCTAAAACCGTCTGTATTTCATTTTTTGAAGAATATATAATTTAACCACCTGGACCAGTTCTCCAAGTAAAGTAAGTAAACAGTTTTTAAATATTTTTTATCTGTACAGTTCGTCCTCTTGTTGGGAACCAGGGACATTCAAATGTCACCTGAGAGAGTTTAGATACAGAAGCCGAGAGGGTCACAACAAACGCAAACGCCGCAACAAATACAAATGCGACAACACAACAAAAAGCCACAACACTACAAAAAAAGACACAACACATTAAAAAGCCACAACACATTAAAAAGCCACAACACGTTAAAAAGCCACAACATGTTAAAAAGCCACAACACATCAAAGAGCCACAATGGCAATGACCACGGGACTCTATTTTAATGCAAACACCGCAACAAATACAAAAGCCACAACACAAATGCAAAAGTCACAACACATCAAAAAGCCACAACACATTAAAAAGCCACAACACATTAAAAAGCCACAACACGTTAAAAAGCCACAACACATTAAAAAGCCACAACACATCAAAAAGCCACAACACATTAAAAAGCCACAACACATAAAAAAGCCACAACACATTAAAAAGCCACAACACGTTAAAAAGCCACAACACATTAAAAAGCCACAACACATTAAAAAGCCACAGCGGAAGTGACCGCGGGACTCTATTTTCCGACGGACCGATCAAGCGACAAGTGAAGAAGAAGAACTACAACGTGAAAAGTAAAGGAACGGAGAAGTTGGAAACGTAAGTAAAAGTAATTTATTGTTTTATCATTATTCATTTCACGTTGTAGTTCTTCTTCTTCACTTGCCGCTGGATCGGTCCGTCTGAAAATAGAGTCCAACAGTCACTTCTGTTGTGGCTTTTTAATGTGTTGTGGCGTTTGTATTTGTTGTGGTGTTTGTGTTTGTTGTGACCCTCTCGGCTTCCGTATTTAGACCGATAGCTTTAGTGTTTTGTTTGAGGCAGCTGGTAATAAACGTGGACGTGCTCTGTGGTCTGTGAGTGTCCCAAGTGACGAGTGGAAAAGAACGAGATCTGAGGCTGAAGTTGTGGAAAAATGTTGAAGAGACTGCAGTTCTACAGGAGGCCGTGTTTGGGGAGCTGCACAAGCTAAAAGGATTCACAAATAGACCTGTAACGATAATAATCAATAAATCAATGAACCGTACGGTAACTTTTAACGAGTTCCATCACTTTTCTGGTAGCGATCATTTCTGTTTGCATGTTTGTTTGTTTTCCTCGTCTCTGTCTTTAACTTTACCAAACAGACTGAGTGTCAAAGTTTCTGTCGCTCTCTACTCGAGTCTTTAGACCAGGGGTCGGCTCCTGTGGCTCCGGAGCCACATGTGGCTCTTTTCTCCTTCTGTTGTGGCTCCCTGTGACTTTGGAAAAGACATAATGAGTATTTAATTAATTACAATGTTTTTTATTTTAGTTTTTTCATTTTTAAATGTAATTCTAAATTTGTGGATAATGGTTAATCTTGTAACATTCAAATAAAAAGTTCCAGATCCTGCACCAGCAGCGCGATTATTCAACCCCTGGTCGGTAAATGATGGATAAATCCAAGAAAAAGAAAAGTTTCTGAAGAAAACAGAATGTTTAATGTTTAATGCTACATGGACAGATTCATTTGTTTTCACGGTTGATCAGACTTTTTTTTTTACACAGCGATA